CAAGGGTGTCGGTACTTCAGCAAGATAGATCTGAAGTTCGGGTACCATCAGATTGCCATACGGCCCGAGGATCAACACAAAACCGCTTTTCAGACCAGGTACGGTCTGTACGAGTTTGTGGTGATGCCTTTTGGCCTTTGAAATGCTCCTGGTACCTTTCAGCACGCTATGAATCGGATATTCCATGACTACTTGGATAAGTTTGTCATCGTGTACCTCGATGACATACTTATTTTCAGTAAGACTGTCGAGGAACATGTGGCACATTTGGACAGAGTCCTCGGCCTCCTGCGACAACACAAGTTCAAGATCAATGGGGAGAAGTGCGAGTTTGGCCGCACCTGTGTCTTGTACTTGGGTCATGAGATTTCTGCGGAGGGATTGAAGCACGATGACGCGAAGGTGGCCAGCATTCGTGATTGGCCACTTCCTCAGTCTGTGACTGAGATGAGATCTTTCTTAGGAATGACAGGCTGCTATAGGACTTTCGTTAAGAACTACAGCATAGTGGCCGCCCCTTTGACTGATCTGACCCGCCTTGAYACCCCTTGGGAGTGGACAGATAAGTGCGAGGCTGCTTTCAGACATYTAAAGCATGCACTGACGCACTATGAAGTCTTGAAACTTCCTGATCCTGACAAGCCGTTTATAGTCACAACGGATGCCAGCCAATATGGCATTGGCGCCGTGCTTGCGCAGCAGGAGGGGCCAAAGTTGAGGCCAGTAGAGTACATGTCCAAGAAAATGCCGTCTCATAAGTTGGCTAAGTCCACTTATGAGAAGGAACTCTATGCGGTGTACAAGGCTCTCACCCATTGGAGACACTATCTCCTTGGGCGGTTCTTCATCCTCCGGACTGATCATCAGACCGTGAGATGGATGAGAACACAACCGGTACTCTCTGATGCTCTCAAGCGTTGGATCGAAGTTATTGAGCAATATGACTTTGACCCTCAGTATCTCAAAGGGGAGTACAACAAGGTTGTTGATGCCTTGTCGCGCAGACCGGACTTCTCAGGTGCGCTGATTACTGAGTTCGATCTGACGGACGATGTTACTCAGTCTTTGGTGGAAGCCTATTGTCAGGACCAGTTTATGTTTGAGATTATACGCAGACTTGAGGCGAAGGATAAGAAGACCTCCGCCGAGTTTGAGTTGGTCAATGGATTGCTGTTCCTAGAGAAGGCAGGGAATAAACGCTTGTGTGTCCCAAATAGCGAGTCTTTGCGTAGTTTGTTTTTAGGTGAGTGTCATGATGCCACCGGCCATTTGGCCCACGATGATGAAAGATGCACAGCTGTACGTGGAAACTTGTCAAGTATGCCAAAGAGACAAGCCCCGTACTCAGGCTCCTCTTGGGCTGCTCAAGCCCCTTCCGATTTCGGAAAGGCCGGGTGAAAGTTTGTCCATGGACTTCATGGATACGCTGGTCACCAGCAAGAGTGGGATGAGACAGATCTTTGTCATCGTGGATAGGTTTAGTAAGTTTGCTAGACTAATAGCTATGCCAGAAACA